GGGAGAGAAAAGTAAGTCATATAAATACAATTCCATAGTAAAAAAGAAATACACGAAGATTGCAGCATTATATATATATATATATATATATATAAGCAACCTAGGGTTGGTACAGCTGCAAAACGCAAATGAAATCAATTAAAGTTTGTGTTAAATAATCTTAGAATATAGCAGTTCTGTGATGTTGAAGAGGGAGGGTAAAAAGATGGTAACACATGATTGTTCATCAGTTCATTTTGCTGTGGTAGCACATGCTTAATTGGTTGGTTACTTATTGCTCATGCTTCCTTATTGAGCGATTACGTACGAAAAAGATTTTTTGTGACTACGTGCTACAGAGAAAAAACTCACTGTTAGCTTTCGGCATCGCCCCGTGTTACTTTCCGTGCGGCTTTCGAAAGAAAGTCCAAAAACACGGAAAGGGGAAGAACAGGAAAGGCTTCTAAATATTTTTTCGCAAGGCCAGAGTTAGCGGGCTCCTCATTTGTCTCCTCCTCGATTGAGGTTTCAGTAACTTTGATATGGAGATTACCAGAACGCCCATGCTCAAGGTCAGGGTTTACATTGCCGTAGAGCGATGCAGAGGTGGGTTGAAGTATCTTTTGTTCACTAGCACACGTTTTACTAAGTGATAGAGAGAGCGTTGAGGCATATTGAACCCTGAACTCTCGCCTGGAACTCACGCAGGCACCATAAGCCAAAAATGGAAGTTTTCTGAGCATCCGGCCATTGAGATCAACACACAAGTCAGCTATCCTAATGATACAGGCCGCCGCGCATTCTGGTAAGAGGACTTCCTCAAAGTAGTGTGGGGTGAACCCAAGAGTGCAGGTTGAAGTGTCGTCGCGCACAACGTTCGGTTGGTGCTGAGAGTCCTGATCCACACAGACAAGCCTGCTTCGCAGTAACTCAACTACGCCGCTATACAGCATTGCGGTACGCGCCTTTAAGCCTGGGGGTCCCAAAAAAATCTTTTTATCGACACGATCCAGGAAAGCCTCATCAATGGCGTCGGTCAAGTTGCTGGTGGCGAGCACAAGCACATTATTGAACCTGATCAAATGATCGATCTGCGTGAGCAGCGTGTTCACCACTCGGATGGAGTCTGTGGGTTCATTTCCCTTCATAGCAGACTGCCGCGCAGCGGCCAAACTTTCCACCTCGTCAATAAGCACGCACACCAGGCCGCGCTCATCCGACGCGAGCTGGACGATATGTCGAAACAGCTGCATCACCTGCTTTCCACTTTCGCTGAACCAGCGGCTAAAGAGGCTGTGCGCGTTCACCTCGATGAGCCTCGCACCGTATGGGAAAAGATGCCCAAGACGAATGGCTAACTTTTGAGCGAGCGCCTTGCAGAGGGAGGTTTTTCCAGTTCCAGGTGGGCCGTGCAGAAGGACGAGGCGGTTCCAGACAATTGCGTGCGGATCAACGCCCGCGAGGGAAAACGTCAAGGCCGTGCGGACGTACTCCACGAGATCGACTTTCAACCGCGCTGAGTCGGTGAGGCTATCGCCGTAGTAGAGAGATTCCCAGAGCCCGTCCAGGGATTCGTGTGGGAGCAGCAGGATGCTGCAGGGCGGTGGGTTCGCGCCGTTATCGTCGTCATGGCAGCCTCTTCCAGGGTGAGCCTCACGACTTGGATCGTCCACGGCGTCGCCGCTATGCAGGGTGTAAAGAATTGGGACGAAGGAAATTTCCTCAACTCCTGACGCATAGGCTGCCGCCGAGGAAGAGTTCCTCGTACCCGCATCGCCTCCGTCTTTCGGGGGGTAAAAATCGCACATATCGCACACCCGCATGGAGCGCACGACGCGCTGAAGGAGGGATGAGATAGCCGGCATCGTGGCTTCCGCGAGCGTCCACGCCGTCAGAGGGATGCATCTCCCAGGGGCGAAGAGGGATGAAAGCTCTGCGTGGGCGGCATCGCAACCGTCACTCGCATAATGTCGCAGAAAGGAGCACAAAAGGCAACTTAACTCAAGCCAATCCGACCGCGGCGCCGTGCAGGCAACTTCCACAACCACGGTGGTGGAGCTCATCGCACTGTGATTACCCCGTCCACCTACACCCTTTCTGCCGACGCAAAAGACCTTCTTGGAAGTGAATTTCTAGCTAAAATGGAAAATGAATAGATGCAAGACCGTGCACTGCTTCACCGGATAGCGGAAATGGTGGCTTCTGATAATGAATAGCGTTGTGTAAAAACACACGCAAGTGCTATACAATGTGAGAGTCAAGGCAAGGAAAGAAAGAGAATGGACGAATTTCGTAAAATACGGTTGTAATAGACAAACGAACAGACAAAACGCCTTGCATGTTTAGTTCTGCTTAAGGAAATCTGCTATGATTAAGGGTGGCCAATGCAAAAGCCCCCATATGGGACCCGCCCCTGCTCCCTTTTCACATATGTTGGTGCATGCAAATAATCAAGAATTATCTGAAGACTGAACCATTCCTTTCAATTCGGCGACGCAGGCACCTTCCCGATTTGCTTCATCTTCTGAGGCGATCACTAGACCAAAGTGGCCAGCCGTCTTGACGGACCAGTTGAAGCTTTTCGTCCACTCTTGGATCCAAAAGTTAATTTCGTCGTTCCCCATAACAACAATCGCTGACGAACTCTGCGGTGCACCATCACTAGGCTTACACGCTCGAATCTCCTCAACCCACGCGTCAACCATGGAGCGAAACGCTTGCCAAAACTTATCCCCCTCTACATACAAAGCGCTGACTGACTCTAGAAAATGACATAGCTCGATGCACAGCTGCCGTATCTTCTCCAAAGAACCCTGCAGACTGTACGTCGCGGCATCCAACCTTCGCGGGGTTTCACGCAGAACGCAGTAAGGCGATGAATCACGCAACGCAGCAAACGGCTCTTGGGTAGACAATATCACAAAATTAAGTAGAGGTTCACAAAGGACCTGAGTGTAGGCGGGGCGGTTCCACACCGAGGTCGCGCAGGCGCTAAGAATCCCAGCCCACTCTGCCAACCCCAACGCCGCTAACGGAGGCAATTGACCGGCAACGCCGTCAGCAAAGAGCACATGTGCGAGGAGCTGCTCAAAGTCTCGTGTATCCGCACAACCGACAGAGGCCCCGCTGTGAAGGGCTAACAAAAAGGGCTCCACCGGGGCCGTCAGCGTGTGATGCTCAAACAAACAGCGCACTAAACCGCTCCAAAGACTGCGCAATTGAGGCGATGAATCATAGTTGGGTGATAAGCGGGAGGAGAGGGTGTAAAGGCGCTTATCATAGATGATACCTTTAACAGTAGATTCCTCAGACTGATCTGCTTCATAATGCTCGCCAATAGACACGCCCGGTGTTGATGAAAGCACCTCATTACGCGGCTCGGCCTCGCGGTGTTGATTGAGTTCCTCATTTTGTGTCGTCTGTGAGGGATCCAACGCTGCTGAGGCGAGAAGAATGGCCTTGAAAGTTCTGATAAGCATCTGGAGAGACATAAAATCACGTCCTCCACGCAAGTATGATGCTGCCGGAACTAGAGCCGTACACGCTCTATAGTGGCTCATCACGGTTATCAGAAAATAGTTAAGGTGTCGCTGCATCTCTCCCCGGTCAATTGCCACACGCTGGAGTAGCTGCTCGAGGGGAAATTTCGCCCACCACTCTACGGTTAATCCAATAGCCTCCAGACCACAGAAAGCAACCGTCGAAGTGCACAGAGCACGCACATTTGGAGTATTGCCCTTCTGCTTGAGTTGCGAAAGCGTCTTCTCGGTGTGAGGAAGAATCTGCGAAACAAGGTATGCACCCCATTCCATCGTGATAGACAAAGCTTCCAATATTCCTGGAGGGTAAGAAGAACCTTCTGGAGAGGGCTGCCCCACAGCCTGTTGGACTAAAGAAAGCACAGAAAATATTGGTGTTGAGGGGGGTAACTGAGGTTTGGTTGTTTCGTCTAGCGGAAACGAAGCAGATGCCATAGAACGATACAACGTAAAGAGACGGCGATCCCTAGCATTTGCATTGGCAGAATTGCATCTCTCTGCGTGTGTCTGAGCTAAGTGTTGTAGCTCATAGCCATAATGGAGCTGCACTGTGTAGGTGCTGGTCACGAGGTATAGGAGCAATTCTTCTGATATGCCACGCTCGAGGCCGGGGATGGCGTCGTGCATGGCGTGTAGAAATAGCGCGTATAGCTCTAAAACATGCTCCCGATGGCATGACAAATCGCCAGCCTGACAGGATGATTTCTTTGAGGGCAGCTCGCAACCCTGTGAGGATGAACCTTGACGAGGCCAGCAAAATGGCATTTCCGTACGCAGGCTCGGATCGGGTCCATACTGAAGAAACAGCGCGGCAGCAATTGCATGCACTCGACTTACCTGCTGAGCGTACTCAACCATGGACACCCCTCCCGCCGTCTCCGCCTCCGTGGTGGCGAGAATGTGAGAAGTCCCCATGGCAGGTGTCAATTGACTAGTCGAATGGAGATCGTGCAGTCTTGATTCAACCCCAGAGATGCAGTTCTCGTATTCTAGCTCAACGAGGTTATGCAAAACAAGTTGCATGAGGGTCGTCAATCCCATGCGTCGCTCGGTGTCATCATCCATGACAGCTTGAGTTCCTTTATGGGTGCTTTTCATATGGTTATTCAGCGCGCCACTCGAGGTGCCGGTGGCGGTGAAAGGGTATTCTCTGAGGAGGAGGAGTCCCGCCACAAGACGGACCTGCTTGCTGGAACGCAAATCCTGCTTGAATTGGCTTGTGTCCTCAATCCATCCAACTGACTTATGTTGCCCATCCGTTAAAGTCTGACCCTCTTCTGATTTTTTTCCTCGCATCTCATCCGCGTCATTTTGACACATCCCACAGAGCACTCCCTCTATGTCCGACCTCGAGATGAGGCCTAGATACCACGCGTCAAGCACAGCTGAGAGCGGTAGTTGCGACAGCTGATCCTGCACATTACTCTTTAGGCTGTTTTCGATAAAAAACATACGCGACTGGAGAGTCGAAACGGATGCATTAATGGATGGCGCTGAAGTTGCACTCCCTAAAGCTGCGGCATCCTGTGTGAAAAGTGATCTTCCCGGTCCATGATGCTTTTCGGTGTCCAATTGCTTCTGTAATATGTGCTGCCGCTGGAGCTGTCGAATTATGGTACCAGTTAAGTTCGTAAAGAAGTTTCCAAAAAAGGACTTCAAGGAATTTAGTCCCAACCGTGAATGCATCGTGCTCGCAACACGCAATATAATGGGTAGTTCATGAATACCCAATCGAGGAAAGCAATATGCCTCGGTGCTACCTTGCTCGATTGGAGTTTCACTTGCATAGTCCGTTTCATTGGATAGAATAGCTTTCCCATTGCTATTCTTATTAGCCATGTCTTCTGCTCTCTGACGTGTACTGATGAAATCCCAAAGCTCACGATACAGACCAAGGAAGCTTAGCTTAAGCGGCCTCAGACCGATATTGTCCTCGTGTAGTATTGTATACCAATGAGTCAGAACAGGATCTGTTGCATGCGCCAGCTGCGCTCTGTGATGTGCTAGCGATTCACACTTGCGTGCCCACTCCCGGACCGCATTACTGAGCTCCTCACTGAATATAAAAGTGCTGAAAAGCCGATGAAGACTGGAGTAGGAGGTAGCGCTGTTGGCGTCCTGATTGACGAGCAAAGTGCGAATTGCCCCCATGTCTGACGAGGAAATAAGCCAACCCGTCAAAAGAGGTCTCGAGAAATGAGTGAAATCCACACCTTTCCCTAACTGTTGGGTGATCAGCCGATGCACAGCAGCAGTGAACTCCACACGGAGGGTTTGAGCCCACTCGTCGTACTTACCCTCAGGAGATGAACTAGACGCGGGTGTTGTTGATGGTGCGACCTCAATCGCCGCGGTCGTTTTCTCCTCCCGTAAAGCCATAAGAAGAAATCCGCCAAAATAACCGAGCTGCAGCAGCCGGTTGAGGTCCTTAAGGATGATGTCGTCGCCCTTTGCCTCCCCTATCGTAGGGGTCTGTCGACGTTGAGCCCCAGCCTCGCCTTCCCATACCTTCCCCGCCCCTGTGGAGTCTGAAATCTGGGGAAATAACTCCTTTAGGCCGTTTATCAATCGAGGCCAGAGGAGTTGTTGAAGCCACTCACCACTGAGGCTGTTCAATAGCGGGTAGACTAGACGCCATGCGGTTTCGCGCGTTTCCAGGGTGGCCGTAGTAGCCTTGTCAGCCGCCTCTTCATCTCCCACCGTCTTTCTAGATGCAAAACTTTGATAGCAGGGAGTCGCCACCGCACCGAAGATCGACTTCCACACGACTTTCATGCCCTTGGCGGGGATGAATGGCCAGGGCTGTGCAGAAGGAAGCACGACCTGGAGGAGCTGTCTGGTCAACATGTACGGCTGCGTCGATTGTGCTAAAAGATTCTGTTGCAAATTCTGCACCGCCGCAGATACGGATGTCTTTTCATTGGTCTCATCTGGAGAGCTTTCTGGGGGCTGTGAAAATAAAATAACCCACTTGTTCTGGTGCATCACATTTTCATGGAAACGCTCCGATATAAAGTGGTCCATGTCCGCGACATACACAAACAGCGTACTGACTGAATCACGATATAAATAAGAGGCAGAGCTGCTGTGATTGCGCGCAATGCGCTCAGCCACTTCCGGATTTTTTTGATTCACGTTACCAGATGGTGTGGTCAAGGTGGAATTAAGACAATTAATCAGCAGATAAATAAGCTCATACGCCAATCGCTGTTTATTTTCGGAACTATAAAAAATAGATGCAGCATCCCGAAGCGGTGGCAAGCAATTTGCACGCAACTCGCTCTTCCCCTTGGATCCCACCTTAGACAAGGACGATCCATCTTCTGCGTTCAATACCGCATTAAAACTTGAGGATAGACCCAACACGTAACGTAGTGTGGCGGAGCGCCAATCCAGCACATGGGGCAAACATATCATGCGCAGATATTGCATATACATGAAAAAACTCCCTTTAGCACATAGAACGGAAGAGGCTGTCAAATTTTTATCAGAAGAGAAGTGTTGCCGGCCGCGGAGCCGTTGACGTGGCGTTGCATGTTGAGAAGAGGAAAAAAGAGTCTGTGAATCCGCAGAAGCATCAGTCCAGGACCAAGTCTCCCAGAACGTATACCACATCGCCATAGATTGAGTAATGTCCTCCGCAAACCATGGAAACGTTCCGAGGCGAAACAACATACCACGTTGGTGGGCATCCGTGAGAAATGGCCATTGAAGAAGCATGTAGCGAAATAAAATAGAAAAAAGTACATCGATCACATGGATACGGTAGACAGGAATTTTTTTGGTCAAGGCTGCATGATTGCACTCGCTCTTCGTCTCCCCCTTCTCTTCCGTCAGAAGATGCAGATTTGCGGAGGTTGGGCTGCTGGAAGGAGAAAAAACAGGCTGCGGCAGGATGTCTACTTTGGGAATTTCGTCCAGAACCGCCTGTGCGTGTTTCCGCAGTTGCTGCACCAAGTTTGAATGCTCCTCTAGACAGTCAAGAAAACGAGCGTCATCGGCTTGAGCGGCCTCGCCGTTTTGTACCTCCATTCTCTTATCGTAGGCACGCAGACTTCGCAAAGCGGCACGCATAACCATGATATGCGAGGACAAGAAACTATCAGGTGGATCACACTCTTCTGGGCACCCCTTATTTTCCTTATCGTGGCTACTAGTATGGCTTTGGACCGTTCTGAGGCCTTTCGTCTGGGGTGAGGCCAACAAAGTGTCGTCCTTAGACCATTTAAAAAAGGTGATCGTCCGCAGCAGATCAAATACGCCACCAATGTTATCCGACTTAACGAGAGAGCTTCTCGATGCCTCTTCACCTGAAAAACTCGCGCGTGGAGCCTCGGCTGTCAAATTCGACACATCGGTGTGAATAAAGTGCGGTGAAGAAAAGGATTCTAAACCGAAACAGTACTCAAAAATGCGCTTAAAATCCTTCGGATTTTTCTGAAGCCAGTGCTGCTGCCATCTTTCTTGTAATATTGAAGAATATGAGGCCTTTTTGTGAGTATCATCAGTATCAACCGATGCAATTACCGTTTCTGATAATACATGAATCAGCTCGTTGGAAAATATATCAGGCAACGTAATCGGACGACCAAGCCATTGCATAGCCTGAGCAGAAAGTCGTACAGAGAGTGTACAAGACGCGGAGTTTTCCGCAACTACTTCCAGAAGGACTTCATTTCCCTCAGATTCAGGAAAACGTATCTTGGTAGCTTCCATATCGCCACTTTGACCTTCATCATTGTTTTCATCCATGTCAGGCCTAGCACACAATCGCTGCAAGAGATCCGTTTCACTTAACACTTTAAGGCATAGTGAGCAAAAAGAGTCATATGCAGTTTTGCTACGCTGAAAAGCGTAGTTTTTCCTAAGGTTATTATGCTCACAAAGCAGTTTATGCAGTTCCGAACTGCTTTTGTTTTTATCAGACTTCTCAGCTAAAATAGCAGATCGATCCTCGTGCTTCCTCTCATGTTGGGTGAACCGATTTCCATCAACACGCAAACCTGATGAGCGCTGTCTTGACGGCGACACTGAGGACTTTGTTTTATTAACGGCTTTATGTTGAGAGCTGTATCTTCCTCGTGGTTTATCAGATGATGTCAAGGGTATCTTTTGCTTATCACCGTTGTGTGTCGCAGTACGAGCAGAGTTGCTCCTGTTTTTACCAACTCCATCCGTTTTATCAGAATCTGCGCTGGGTAAAGTAGCTGAAGGAGCAGCCCTGCGTGATTTAGTAAATCGAGAAGAGAATGAATCAGGGACACGCTTCTCTCTCGTTGTCGACATAGCCTTGCTTGAATAAAAAAGCCGGCTTTCCAACATGGCAAAAGTACAACGACTATGGCGTGTGAAATGAGCATGAGGAATGCGTGTGGAGTTAAACCCCCAGGTTGTGCATATAAAACTTCTGGAGACACCGTTAGCTGGCGATAACATCGGTGTCGTCAAGCCACTGACGGACGACAAAGTGAGGGTTGAAGAAAAAGCGGCAATCCTAAACGACTGAGGATGGGACCAACCGATGCGGCGAAAAGTTAAAAATGACATTAAGCTAGTTAATAATCTAGAGTTCATTTAAAGGCTCAGCAAAATTAATTAGATATGTGAACTTGAGATAGCTACGAGACGCAAAAAACTCACAATTGTAATGCGCCTTAGTGTAAATTCACTTTAGGATGTCACTAATGGATGGGCGTGTCAATTTCCGTTCTACATAATAATAGTAAAGGTCAATATTGTAGCCTTCCGAATCAGCTCGTTTTCCAATCTATGTGTGTTATTTTTTTCCGATTTCCAAAGAGCACACACACAACTAAGAATGTTAAAAAGTAAAAAGAGTGGAACAGCAGGAGAATGTAGTGAGTGTTAAAGGTACTCAGTAAAAATACATATAGGATACTTTTTTATTAAACAGAAACATGATAATATCAAGAGAAGTAAGTGCCAGAAGACGCTTAAAAGAGGTAGAACGTATTTCTCGTCAATCCCTGATCTTTATTATACCGCCATAGTCCCAAGCCTGAAGATGGCTGAGCAAAAAAAATTCTGAAAGGGGGGTATAGAGAGGAGATAAAATAAAAACGCTCTTCTACCAGGCTCATCATTCGCTTCGATGAACCTCTCCCCACCGTACTTCTGTATTATCTATATCTGCTCTTATATCACCCTCTAGTCACTTTTAGTGCCCTTACCCGGGCCGTCTTTCCCATTCTCCCAGTACTTAGCAAAGTACGCCCAAGAGTTAAGCAGCAACGCGACTGCTTTGCCCTCGGCAGTGTTAACTTGCTCTTCTGTCAGTGCGTTAAGTGCAGTCCAGGCATCCGCCTCAATTTGTTTTTTGTCAACACCGGCACCGCCGCTTTGATGTTGCTTTTTCATGTTGTTAACGCTCATCGCTACATCCAAAGCGGTTTCATTTGACTCGCTATTATCACTAGCTGCCCCTCCAGTCGGAAATAGAGATGGCGGAGAGGGTGCCGCGACAGTACTATTATCTGCCGGTGTCTGAGTACTGGCGTAGGATGCTCGACTCAAGGTGTAATAGCTGTTACATTGAATCAACGGGATGGTCTGCAGCACACCACTTCCGTATCTGTGGTTGCTCCCTAATAACGCAAGTGTGTATGAAACCCGTTTAAGCATGCTGAAATAGAAAGCTCCTAACCCAATTCGATAAAAAAAATCAAGAATTCAAAATTCTACAGGAAATCAAGACTATTTTATGTTTCTAAATACCAGCAAACATGAGAAGAGGGAAGGTAGAAACTATAACTTTTTTGGAAACGCTCCTATCATATAAAAATACTGCCATTATATAAACACACATATATATACTGAAGGAATGACTAATTTCGAAAACTTCCATAAATTTACCTTGTTTTTTATCCCGTCTGCAGACACGGGGAAAGAAACTGTCACATTCTGATAAAAGTTCTGAAAGACTGAATCAAGGCATAACAGAGATAATCTGAGATATGTTGTTGAACTTCGAGTCGGAAAATGTTAAATTGGAATGCATTTAGTGAGTAAATGGGTGCGAATTACTTTAATTTGTTGTTGATAGAGGGTTTTCCCTTATACACTACCCAACTCCCTTCCCCCTCCCCCCACCCTTCCCACCTTCTCGAACCCTAAACAACCATTCTGCTTAGAAGTGAAATGCATTCTATAAAAAGGAAGAAGAAACTCGCTACGCCATAATATTTATTCGCCTCGCTGGATTCACCCATGGATTGAGTCTCATACGTATGCACTAATGCATTTGATCAGGTCGTCACATTCAGCCCTCAAGTTCAGCGCCAGACGCCGTCGGACGTCCTCGCTTACCCCAGCAATTGGCATAAACTCCGTAATTCGCACCGCAGTAATTCGGAGCCGGTCCGATTCCTCCCCAGGAAGGGCGTTGGGCACGCTCTCCTCCTTCACCCGCAGCCGCATCAGAATCGGCCGGTTGATCCGGTTCTGCGCGAGCTTCGCAATGAACATCGGATCCTTATCCGCGAACGCCTTGAGCTCCGGCGCCGACATCCCGAAGAACTCCGTCCCGGCCTCATTAAACAACGTCAACCACATCTGTGAGACGTTGTCACTGACGTGAATGGAGATGAGGTAGCGCTGGGTCGGGGTCACCAGTGCGTCACACTTTTCGCAACGAAAGCGATCCCCTTGAGTGCCCTCCGCGGTGACCTTCTTATTGCACGTCGGGCACGCGTCGTACCAGTGCGAGTCCTGCTTCATGTAGATTGGGACACAGCGGGTGTCAACGTAGTCCGGCTTGGCGCCGCGGCCAATGCCTTCGGAGAGGATCTCGGAGAAGTACTTCCGGCCACGATTGCTCTCGTCGCCGGCCCCACCCCCGGCCCCGAGGCCGCGTCCAAGGGAGGAGAGCAAGGGCACATTGGTGCCCCCGGTGGAGACGTACCACATCGCGAGCTTCTTCACATCGACGACATCGGCGGGGTTGGCGTCGATCTTGGTCTGAAAGGTGGTGGAGAGCGTGATCCCGTCGAAGCTGCCAACTTTGAGGTGGCGCAACGCGACGACGGTGCCGAGGTCGTACGTCCAGGTCTTGGCCTCATCACCCCATAATGTGACCTCCACCGCGGCCGTCATGTCCCCGACCTTCACGTTGCGCTTGATGAGCGCGCGCCCGGTCGACTTCTGTGTGATGGAGGTGAGCTCCCCATTAAGTAACACAACAGCAAGAATATCGACGAGAGAACCGACCTCGCGTTGCTTCAGCAGCTCAATCGGTACAAAATTGTACCGCTGAAACGGCAGCGTCATAGAAGAGCCATCACGCGCCAGCATAATCTCCGAGTTACTGTCAAAAGTCAGCTCGTAATCATTATTCACGTTGCTAAACCGACGGTTAGCATTCTTGACCTGTCCACCACTAAAGTAGTACACCTGACCGTTCTCAATGAGCGGCTCAAACGTGTCAACAGCGTCGTTGAATACCGTTGCACGAATGGCCGAGGATTCATCGAGAAGGGTAAATGAGAACAATTTGCCTTGTGAAGTGGGTTTGTTCCAGGTGCGGATGTCAGACTTATCGGCCACACGAGCGCGAATCCACCACTTCCCACCGAGAAAGGGGGTAAGGGAGTCAATGGGCTGGATCTGATGTTTTACAGGTTGTTGCATCGTTAATTCTCTGTCTAAAAAATCGTTTATTTTCTATAAAAAAAATTAAATTGTCTGTTTTCTATGAACTTTGTGGTGATGTTCGATGTCTGTCAAACGATTTAAGGGGTCACTTTGTAACGCAAGGAAGTCAATGGTGGAGAAGCAAAGTCACCGATTATCGTCTTGGAAAGGGTTTCGAAATGAGTCAATCGAATATGAAAAATATATTGCACATGTATACAATAGATTATTAGTCATACTTCGGGTGCCAAAAATAGTCTAATGAAACACTATGCTCCAATGTACCACTCTAATGTAACAGGTACAGAAGCCGTGTGTATTTCGTCGGCTCAGTTCTAAAAGACGGCAGCTTGCTCATCCGCCTTGCTCGCTGAGCCTCCACCTCGCGATCAAACAACCGAAGCTGCCTCTCACGAGATGTCGTCTGAGCTACTGCTCTCCAGCTCCTCTTCGTCGCTCTTGGGGTCGTTGGCGAAGAGGGCGAGCAGGTCCTCCGTTCGAAGCCGGTGCACATCCCACCCTTGCGCGGCAGGGGAAGCGGCGCCCCCTCCTTCCCCTGTTCCGGACTGGAAGCAGTACCCGCTAAGGGAACGCTTTTGCTGGCAGAGCTGCTCGATCTTCTCCTCCACCGTTCCCCGGGCGAGGAGCTTCGTGATGGTAACAGGGCGGGTCTGCCCGATGCGATGGACGCGGTGGAGGGCCTGCTCCTCCAACCCCGGGCTCCACAACGGCTCCATCATAAAGCAGTGGTTCGCGCAGGTGAGGTTAAGCCCAACGCTGCAAGAGGAAAAGGTCGTCAACAGCACCTGAGGCGACCCGCTAAAAGCAATCCGGGACCGTGATTGAGGTTTGGCCTCGCTTAGGCCCTTTGCCTCACCCGTGGCGTGGCATGTAGAGCTCTCTCCGCTGAAACACTTCAACACCTTATCCTTCTCCTTAAAGGTTAAGTTGCCGCCGTAGAGGATGCTTTCAATGCCCCTCTCCTTCAGACAATATTGGAGATACCTCAAATAGGTTACGAAAGTGCTGAAGACGACCACCTTCTCGTCTGGCGGGATATGACTCAGTGCGTTCAGTAACCATTGCGTCTTCGTGCTCAAGGTCATCGGCCAGTTCTTGTGATCGGCTAAATCAACGTTCTCTAATTCGTTGAGAAGACGTCCAAGAGGGCCCATCCCGTGCTCGCGTGCGTCCGCATTGTTGCTCGAAGAGAGAAACTCGAGTGGGACCACTGCTACCTGTGAACGTTTTGTTGGTCGCTTGCACATGGGGCAATGCCGATTCAATTGTAATGCATGCTCAATGCACTCGGCACAAAACGTATGTCCACAAGGAAGGATTGCCGGACGGTTCACACGGTCGAGGCAAATAATACACTCCCGCTTGCCTAGCTCATGCTTTTTAAGCTCCTCAACTAGCTCCTGGAAGAAGGTGGTATCCTTGGATACGATGCGGTTTCGAAGTACGGTGTCAATATAATGTTGGATGGCTTGAGAAGTTTGATCATCACTTTCCCTAGCCTTACAAGCATCCGTGCTAGCGCTGTCAGAACCCTTCGAAATCAGCTGCATCTTATCTTCTAACTTGCTGCAATGCTGAAGTGCCACTACCACGATGTACGGGTGCAGGAGAGCCTGACGACATCGAATCATCATCTCAAACGCCGTGTTAAAAGTGGCCAGGTGGCTACCGTTGCCACTGCCTCCCATAGCCTGACGCTTAGATGCAATGTCGAGCTTGCGATTCGCATTAGTATGAATCGCATCATAAAACTCTCTTTCCTCACGCGATACATCCACCAGCTCAGTTCGAATGTATTTTGGCGGCAGCTCCAGAATACGTTGGCCGTCCACCACCGAGTCCGGAGTCCGTCTCAGCAACAGCGAACTAAACAAAATGCGCAACGCCGTCGTCGGGCGGGGGTGGTGGATGTCGATATTAAAGTGCCGCACAATCTCCTCGTTCCACCACTGCAGCACCCCAAAGTACGGCACCTCGAGGAACTTCAGCAGCGGGAAGAGATCGTTGAGGCTGTTGTAGACCGGCGTCGCGGTGACTGCCCACTTGCAAACCCCGCTGAGTTTGAGGCATGCGCGCGTCTGCTGGGCGGAGGCCGTTCGAATCGCATGAGCCTCATCGAGCACGATACGCTGCCAACGTATCATATACAACTTCCCGGGCGACGCACTTTTTGAGGAGGACTCATGCCGTAGCGTCTGGTAGCTCGTGAGCACGTAGTCGTATTTTTGCGCTAAGTCAAAGAGGGAAAGCCGACGGCGACGGTTGGAGCCGTGGTAGAGCATCACACTCGGCGCCGGTACCACGCAGCGGTAGAGCTCCGCCAGCCATACGTGGAGGAGCGCGGAAGGGCATACCACCAGCGTCGCCACGGACTCCACCTGACTGCCCGTTACGCGATCCACCCGCGGGCGGCGGGTGGCCTCGCAGAGGGCGATCATCGTGCGGGTTTTGCCCAACCCCATGTAATCCGCAAAGATTCCGCCGCGAACCGACTTGGCGGCTTGCCGAGTCACCTCCTCTGAGGTTTCCGTCAGAGCCAGGGGTGAAAAGGACCCCCCGAGGAGATCGCGGCGGCCTGATACCGTTGTTAACGCGTCCGAAGAGCCAACCCCCCCTGGGGAGCCGAACCGTTGCCCCTGCAGGTGTGAATATCGATCAATGGGGCGGTTGGAAAGAGGGGTGGGGGTGGGGGTGGGGGTCGTGAATTCCTGGTGCTGGAGCCAATGGAGGGCCTGAAGCTGAAAGGGACGCAGTTCGGCACCCGCCATGGTAGGGGGCACCGCCGCGCAGGGCAGTTTATCATACGGCACCGACTCCAGCGTCTGGAGAAAGTGCACAAGCTCGCGATAGCTCGCCACGTCGGTTTTACCCTGCTCACTCCCATGACGCGAGTCCCCGTTGCTCGCTTCGTCGTCGTCGTCCTCCTCCTCCTCCTCTTCTTCTTCGTTGCTGTCGAGGCTGCTTTCCGATATCGAGGAACGGAGGGATTCCGCACGACCGCTTTCGGCGAGGTCGACCTCTCGGGAGGCCACCCCTCCCCCCAATCGGCCGGCGTTGGGCGATACAATCTGCACCGAGGGCGTCCGCCCCCTTGGGGATCCGACCGCCACGGAAGGCCCCGCGGCCGCGACGCTGAGGAGGTTTTCGCCGCACATCTCACATCCCCAGCCCCCCGCGTGGGGCGGGTGGGGGGTTTAAAAAGGTGCACCGCGGGCAGGCAACGGCGGCCTTCCCATGGAAGGCGGCCG